GCAGAGAATAAATTCACCAAAGGCTATTAAGCAAACATACTGATGCAACTTCTGGGTCAGGCAGTATTTAAAGCAGCAGATGCCTAGAGAATACGAGACTATCCACTATGTGCTTGCCCTTACATTCTTTCCATGAACACCCACTTCAGGCCACCATCCCTAGAGCATTTCTCCAGAGAAAACTTGGTCTGAGCCCCTTCCAGGGCTGGAAAGATTTCAGCACACACAGGCAAAAAAGGCAGGAGCCTGGGAGCCAAAACAAGAGATCAGGTGGTTGTTGTAATTCAAGAAAACCCAGGACCATAATGAGGCTCAGCAGCTCAAGATGAGGAAACCACAGTGGTGAAGCAGAATATACAATGGCAGCACGCCCACCTTGACAAGTATGGAAACTAAAGAGAACCACTGTGGGTAGAGGTATAAGGATCTCAAAGCACAAATTTTCATTTGCTGGTACCTCCCAGCTGGATGTAAGGCCAACACCAAGAGACAAGAGATTCTAAGATTTCTTGGAGCTTTAAGCAGCAAATAAATAAAATACTGAAGGAAGAAACATAGCAAGAAGCATGGGTGGAAGAACATGTACTGAACCATCCCTTTGACCACACACCCAGTGCCCTATGAAGGACCTAGTTTGTGTCCCGTGATGCCCATGCATTTGGTAAAGAACAAAGAAGGGTCTGCTGGGATCCCTCACATGCTTTTAGTGGTGATAAGCCCTTGCCATTGTTCTGTACATTGGGGAAACTACAAGAGGAGAAAGTACAGGAAGTACAAAATTTGCAGTGCGTGGTCATTCATAAGGCCCACAGCTACCTGGTCTAGCATTCACGTCAGGCCTGTTGCAAGCAGGGAGTTGGATTAGGGATCTGCAGTTGGATTAGGGATGTCCAAATATCCCTCACTGCCTTACCTTTCTGTAAATCTAAAATGCTCAGTAGCTGCTACCCACCCCTGCTGTACAGCAGGGCTTGGCAACAGATGCAGATGTGGCTGGAAACGCAACCTAGGATGAAGATACTTAACTGAGCCCCAGTGCAAGCCTGCATGCAGAGGGCAGGCAAAAGGTGTGAACTGGCACCAGAATGCAGATATAATCAGCCAGCGGCTGTTCCCTGCACCAACACTCCATTTCCAAAGACAGTTCTTAATAGGACAAGGTTAGACGTGGTCTGGACATAGGCAGCTCAGTCTTCACTCAGCCCTGAGAGACTAAATAGGGACTAGTGTCCAGGTGAGAATCTGGCCTCAAAAAAGTTGTCACAGATGCTGTGAGATGATTTAAGGTGG